GTAAGACTCACCTCATCTCATTGATACTTAAAGAACTTGACTTGTAGAGAAGGGGTGGATTGAGGGTTGACTGTGCCTACACATAGCTAGACTCTCAGAGATTGTTACATCTAAATAGATTACACAGGTTCCAGAGTATTGAGCTCAGTATCCTGCCTTTCCAGATCTGGCTATGGAGTCTCTAAGAAAAATATTTAAGACTCTCATCTTTTATGGTTCTTAATTGGTGAGGCCCACTAGAAAAAGGGAGAAGTTACTAGGGAAAAGCTTAATTATCTTATGACAGTCAGGGCAATTAAAAATTAAGTTCTGATACTGTTTAAAAAAAAACCTTCATTTCTCAATCAACATTTCCTAGAAACTTGTGAACTTTGTTAATTAGTAAAGGTTAATAATAACACATTCTTATTTCTACTATGTATTGAGAGTTTTATACACATGATCTCATTTAATCCTTACAACAACCTTAAGCAAGGCCTCATTGTCCTCATTTACAGATGAATAAAATGAGGTTCAGAAAAGAGAAGTGATTTGCCCAAGGTCATGCAGCCAATAAGCAAAGTACTCTTGATTGATATATAATTCTGTAAAAACTGTGCTCTTAACTACAACACTAACATATCTCTAAGTTAGAGATTCTAAACTGGGTTTGATTTTGGCCTCCCAAAGACATAAAACAATGTCTTGGAGAGATTTTTGATTGTTACAAACAGGGAAAGAGGGTGTGCTTCAGGCTTCTAATGAGCAGAGGCCCAGAATTCTGCTAAACCACCAATGCACAGGGAAGCACAGAGTACTGTCTGGCCCAAAGTATCAATAGTGCCAGCATTGAGAAAGCCTGATCTAGACTTTCTAGTCTTTTAGAGGCTACTTTTAAACTGGTTATTCTAGTTTGGCATTCTGTTCAATGCTTCTTTGCCTCTGTATCTATTTCCCCCCATTTCTTTCCTTTAAAAAATCTTGCCTCTGCAGACTAGAAATAAACATATAATAACAAAAAATGTTTGAGTTCCAATTTCAATGTCCAACAGTTCTGAGTCCCTGTTTTAATGTCAAACAGTTCCTTATATGTACATGTCAGCAATGATATCTGGATGGTGGGCACATGGTGGCAACGCAGGTCAGACTCTCTCTGGTTTGGTCCTGGGCAACCTGCAGTGACACACAGCTGCTAACTGTTAGCATGGCAAGGCGTCATCAGCGCGGGAAGGCAAGGGAGGTTGGGGGGGGGGGCGTGCTGTAAGAGATCAACCGAAGGACTTGTACGCATACATATAAGCATAACCAATGGATACAAGACTCTGGGGCTGGGGTGTGTGGGGGGGAGGTGAGGCATGTATTGGGGGGTAGAGGAGGCCGGGGGGAGGTCAATGGGTAAAAAAAAAGGGGACATATGTACCACTATTCGTAATACTTCAAACAATAAAAAAAAATTAAAAATAGATTTAAAGGGAAGAAAAAAACAAAAACAAATAAACAACAACAACAACAAAATACCCAAACTGATTATTCTAGACAAGAAGAAACCAAACTATAAGCATCTTCTTAGAAGATTCTAGTTTCATTTGCCTAGGTCCAGCAGATAGGTACCATCTTTGTGCTCTCTCTCTGCTTTGATCTAGCTCACAAGCACCATCTGGAAGGGACTTGTACCTGCATTGGGTGCCCTGATTTTTGTGGCTACCCCCAGGAGACACCTGTAGATCACCTGGATATGATGACCAGTGGGGCTTATTGCTCATAGGTTACAAAGAACTGTAACCAATGGAGAAATAGTTATAAACCACCTATAACCCTTAGGGCACAGCGAGAGGGAACAGTCTGAGAAGTTCAATCTTTCTGTAAAAAGAAAAAATACATTCTCTTTGAGACAGCATGGGGAAGACATGGGGTGGGGTGGGGTTGGGTGGAGGGGGGAAAAAAGGGAGAAAATGAGATATACATCTGTAATACTGTCAACAACTTTAAAAATAAAAAATTAAAAAAATAGATTTGAAAGATGGCAGCACAGATAAATGCCTGTATTTGCCACCTCCCATGACCACATCAAAATTACAACTAAAATATAGAAGAATCTTCATCCAGACCCACTGGAAAACTGGCTTAATGGAAATCTTACAACTAGAGAAGTAAAGAAGCACACTGAGACTTATAAGAGGTGCAGAGGAGCAGAATGGACTTGTCCTGCGGCCACCCTGAGGATCAAGGGGTCCCAGTCCCACACCAAACCCTGAGCCTAGGGTCCCAGAGATGTGAAAAGAAGTTCCTATGGGCAGTAAGAACTATGAGCTGTAAAAACCAGTGCGGATTGAGGCTCAGTGACACAGAAGCTGCTGAAGATCCAGCTGCTCCTCTTAAAGGCTGGCACACAAACTGAACTTACAAGGTCCCACTTCCTCTGAGCTCCAGCACCAGAGCAATGGTCTGGGGGACACAGACACATCCAAGGAATAAATGAATTGTCTGACAACAAGGCAGTAACACGGGAGTGGCTTCCTCCCACATGGAGGTACTTGCAGAAATCATTGTTCCTATTCTGGGATCTCCCTGGTCTCAGGGCTGACTGGCAGCCATTTCTATTTGCTCCACCCTGGTGATTATCTAAGACAGTGTTTCCCAAACTTCTCTCAGGATAAGAATCATCTGGTGGTGTTGTTAAAATACAGATTCCCGAATCCCAACTAAAAAGTGCTAAACTAGAATTTTTGGAATATATAGGTAAAATTGTATACTTAACTTAGTACTCTAAGTTAAGTATACAATTTTACCTATATGTTCCTAGCACTGCTTGTTGAAAAAAGAACACACACACACACACACACACACACACACACACACACACACACACACAAAACAACAACAACAACAAAACACCCAACCAGAAGAGCAAAAAGAAAATAGAATTCAAAAGTGTGAAAAGAGTGTAAGGAGCCTCTGGGACAACTTCAAGCATACCAACATCCACATGGGGGTGCCAGAAGAGAGAGAGCAAGATATTGAAAATCTATTTGAAGAAATAATGACAGAAAACCTTCCCCTACTTGGTGGAAGAAATAGATTTACAATTACAGGAAGCACAGAGAGTCTCAACAAGAAGAACCTAAAGAAGACCACACCAAGACACATCATAATTAAAACGCTAATGGCTAAAGACAAAGACAGAATCTTAAAAGCAGAAAGAGAAACGTAGTTAGTTACCTACAAGGGAGTGCCCATACAATTACAATTATCAGCTGATTTCTCAACAGAAACTATGCAGGCCAGAAGAGAGTGGCAAGAAATATTCAAATTGATGAATAGCAAGGAACTACAACCAAAGTTACTCTGCTCAGCAAAGCTATCATTTAGAATTTAAGGTCAGATAAAAAGCTTCACAATGAAAAGCTAAAGGAGTTCATCACTACTAAATCAGTATTATAAGAAATGTTGATGGGTATTTAAAAAGAGGAAGAAAAAGAAAAAGATATAAAAATATGAACAACAAAATGGCAACAAATAATACCTATCAACAATTAAATCTAAAAATCAAAATAAAGGAATAATAAATCTAATGAACAGAATAATCTGATGAATAAAATAGAATAAGAGGCGTGGAAATGGAACAGAATGAGGATTCTCAGAGGGAAGGGGAGTGGGGGGAGGCAGAAGGGATTAAACAAATATCTTATATGCATATATACATTAGCTATTGACACAAAAAATAGGGTGGCAAAAGTCTGGGGTGGGAACCAGGTGGAGGAGGTAATGGGGGGGAGGGAGAGAAGGATATCTGTAATAATCTCAAAAGTAAAGATTTTTTTAAAAGGAAAAAACAAACATAAATAATAAAAATATAACAAAAAAAGATACATGAGATAAAAAGATACTGAGATAAAAAATTGTGGAATTCAAAACAAAATGTGGTGTGCAGAATTCCAAAATGGCAGTGGGTTAACTGGAAGTTACACTGATGCTCTCCTAGGACCAAACTGGAATTACAAATAAAATATAATAAATCTACCCTGAATAATCAACTGAAGACTAGCTGGAGAGAACCAAAGATGGAAAGTGGAGACCATATAGAAACTGGTAGAAATGCATAGGCAAAAGAGAGCAGGTTGGGTTCCCAGCGACAGCAGCTGAAGTTCTAGAAGGGTATCTCAGCTGTGGGGGGTTTCCACTGACAAATATGGGGTCTAAACCCCAAGCTGGACTCCCCAGCCCAGAGCACCAGAACTGAGAATGGTACCCACATACCATGTGGTTGTAAAAAATCAGTGGGGTTGCTGTTTGCCAGGGAGAGATGGCTGGAAATACAGGCACCCTTTTAAAGGGGAAAAAAAGCATAAAATTTCATGCTCATCTTGGGCTCCAGCATAGGAAGGGCAGAGTGGACTGGAGCTGTCCGAGGAGAATTCATGGTTGAGGACTTTGGGGTTAGAGCTTGGAAGGCAGCCACCCCAATTTCATGTGCTGGGTCATTCACCCACACTGCAGAGGAAATCTTTCTCAGGCAGACCTTTACTATCCAGGCACCTTTTTCCCAGGGGTGAAACAATTTCCCTTCCCTGTTGGGAACCTCCTGCCCCACCCTGTTCAGTCTACACTTTGCTGTGGTCTATAGCCTGAGGTTCACTAAGAGGCTGAGAATAACAATCAGACTGCAGGCAGAGGTGGATTTCTGGATACATTGAGTCTTTGCCTGATCTCTTTCTGGTCCCAGGAGTAGGAAAATTAGATGCTGGTGCACGTATTTTTCCTTTCCAAAGGCACCCAGCTCAAGCAGAGGGAGCCACAAGTTATACATTGCTGATAGGTCCTAACAGGGTATTCAGAGCCAGCCACAAACAGCATTTGGACATTATCCTACAGTAGAGATTTGGAGTAGTAGCAGATCTACATAATGTATAGACACAAACCAAATCAGGCAGCCAAAATGGGAGAAAAAAAATATCCTAAATGAAATAACAAGAGGATTCTCTAGAAGAGCTAAACTAAATGGAGATAAGAAATTTCTAATC